ATGTGTGTGTGTGTGTGTGTGTGTGTGTGTGTGTGTGTGTGTGTATGTGAGAGTGTGGTTGAGCTCTTGTCTGTGAGTGCACGTGCCTTCAGTTCTGTGGCGGAAGAACTCACATCAAGCCCTTAATGTCTTTCCGTCCACTCACCCTCAATGCTGCCGTAACGAGTTGTTTACACGTTGCTAGGCGACCGCCACGCTATACCGGCCAGCGCGAGATGTTAGTCTGTTCCAGTCGACAACGCTGGAGAGGTGGGCTTCTCCCTCGTCTTCTGCACCAGTGCATTCTGGGAAGCAGCCAGTCCGCACACGCTTAGCGTGAGGTGTGTGGTATTCGGTGATGTTGCACCATCTTTGAACATGTTATGGTGATTTCTAGAACGCACAAAGGAAGGAAAATAGTAAGTAGAACAGTACGTTTGATCCGCTTTCCCTGCCCAAATAAATGGTAGGATAACATATTTGTTGCTAGTTGTTATCTTTAATGTAAAGAATATACTATTATGCAATTAGATTGGTATCAAGTTCATTTGATCGGTATATTACAGATATTATACAAATAGTCGTGAGTAGCAAGGGTAGGAGCTTTGCCCTTTTGTCAAATCTAAGTGGGCGTAGATTTCACAAGTGTGCAGACGAGGACATAATATTGTGGTTCAGTTGATTCTACACGTGTTACGTCTACATCGACACAGCTTAAACCATTTAAGTTTAGCAAATGATTTTATGTACTGTACTCTTCAAGATCGTGAAGGGTTGAATTGTTGCACATTAGCAGGACAAGTTGGAGGGTGAGGTTTGAACTTCGAACAAACTTTGAGTAAGGTAATTTTTTTCTCTTATTTTCTGAAAAAATTATTCTTGAGCTCGACGATTTTTCTCTCTGCTTCGAGCCGTTTACTTGATTTTTAAATTTTTATTTTGTTTGGCTTTGGTACGGCTTTTACCCTTTTACGTTAACGTTGAATTTTTGACTTATACTGTGTGTCATCAAGTGCTCCAGGTGAGTGGGATAAGTTAAGGTAAGATACGATAAGATAAGATAAACTAAGACTGAGCTCCACAAAGAGACATTTGCTGTGGAGATGGAAGTTACAAATGCTCAGACTTTAAATAGTAGGGTTAAAAGCTCTCACACTCTGTTTTCAAAACACTTAAATTTTTCGTAAAGTAAGCTCTATTTCATGACATTTTCAAGAAATAATATGCTCTGCCGACTACCAACACTTCACATATTCGTGTCGTTAAATCAGAGAAGCGTTTCGCATTCCACTCGACCAATCTAATTATTCTAACAAATCACAGAGAGGATTAATGTCAATTCGTTGCACTTCCTGTGTGAAGATCCATTTTGTTGTTGATTCTGGCTCAGTTACAGAAAGGTGGCTTGAAAGCAGAATAACTTGCAGTTTTCAGACAACCAGATAGGCACGTCTATATATG